CTGGAAAAGAGAGAGAGAGAGAGGGAGGGGGAAAGCGGAGCAAGTCCTCTGATGCTTTTAACGACTGTGAAATTACCTATCTCTATATGAAATTCAATCCGAAGAGAAGAACAAAAGCAAGAGAGAGAAAGAGAGAGAGATTGCGCCTCTGCATCTCACCGTTTCCATCCACTGGCGAGAATCGTCGAGGAAGTTTCACGCTCAGCCTCCAACTGTCAAGCGATTCGAGATAAATCCGAATAGAAAGTAAGGTAGAGCGGAGAGGTCTGTCGATCGTTTCGCCGATCGAGAGCGAGCCGAACGTTTCGAGTTCTGGCACCGTTGGCGGGGGGATTATTTTTAGAACGAGTGAAAATCGAAACGCGCGAACACACGAAGGATAGTCGGTACCGCTAAGCGGTGTTACTCAATCAGAGGCGGTGGCCGTTGCTGAAATGAAACCATGGGCTGCAAACCCGTTTCAAGGGCAGGGTCGCGAGAATAATGGTGACGAGCGAGATTGAAGTTAAAAAAAAAAAAAAAAAAACAAGGAAGATCGAGTCGTTCCTTCGAAGTGAACCTCATGGAACTCAGAGAGAGTGTATATATATAGGGTGATCTTGGAAATCGATTGGTGATTCTTTCGATTTTTCAGTTGAATATTAATATTAATTTTGACCGAATTTCGTTCCTTGAATTTCTTTGATGTCATTAAGAACTCTATGGGAATGTAAATGGAAAGATGAATTTCGTTCGATTCGAGATTAAGTTTGGATACGAAAAAAGATGATATTTAAGATATTTTTCTTTCCTGATCAAATATTCAGAGTCCATATAATTGAAGAAATATTAATCCTTGTCCTTAATTTTTATATATTGAATTTTAATTCTTATTCAAGAAAATATAATACTCTACATCGTCTCGTTTCTTCGATACCTTGCACAACTCAGAGAGAATTTATAAGATGATTTTGAAAACATAATGGATATTTGATTTTTCGAATATGAGTATTGAATATTAGTATTATGACGAGAATATAAATGGAGAGATGTGGATGTTTAATTCGAAATTACTAAGAGTCCATTAAAAAAATATTAATCCTTGTCCCCGATCTTTATATATTGAATTTGTTTAATTTTCATTCAAAAAACCTTTATATAATTATTATTTAAATTATCGACGAGATTGAAATGAAAAGCAAGGAACATCGTCTCGTTTCTTTGCTCTAAGAAACCTTTATATAAAATTTATAATTTGAATTATCGACATTCGATTGAATTTTATTTATTAAATACGTACGTAATTAAAATATAAGATGTCTTATCAGAAAAGGAGATCATTTTCTTTATGGATACTTTATATTCATAGCCGATATAATTCTCGCACGTGTTCGGTTTGCACGGTCTCTCTCTTCTTCGTCATCGTTGACCCATGACAGGATACATAAATTCCCGTTAATAATTTCTCCGATATCACCGGGTCATCTTGTTTGCACTCGGAATGAAAAAGAAAAGAAAGAAAAAAAAAAAAAAAAAGG